CCCCCCCCCCTAGCTGTGAGCAGGAGGTCCCTGCGAGGGTGTGGGGCTGGGATGGAGGGGCTGGGGTGGGCTGAGCCCTCTCTGCCAGCTCCAGCGCTGGCTCTGGAGGAGCCACCACCTCCGAGATACGGTGTGGGTAGCGGTATGCTGGGGCAGCGGGGCGGGATGGCAGTTAGCAAGAGCAGGTGGGTTTTTTCCACCCGGTGAAAGGACCAAATCTCATACCATGCTGTGCAATGGTTTATCGGGACCCAAGGGTGCCCCCCCCGCGCCGTGCTGCAGGGCAGGGCTGCTCTCTGCTGCTTCTCTGGGGAGAGGAGCTGGCGATGCTGAAACGCTCCCCATGGGCTGTGCTTGGTGCCAGGGCTGCCGATGCCCCGTGGCGCTCGGGGAGGTGTTGGGATGCAGGTCGGGATGCGGTGTGTGTCCATGGGCACAGCCTGTGGGCATCACCCAGGCGCCGCTCCCCGTGCCTTCACCACCAGTTTTGCCCCCAAGGAACCATTTGCTCCCTCCTTCCTCCCCTGTGGGCACCCAGCTCGGGGTCCGATGGCTTTTGCAGCCCAATGTGCTCGGCACACAGCTGACCATCCATCCTTGGCGCTTTTAATTTGAGCGGACCCTGGGGCAGCCAGAAAGCCAAACTCCCCCCGCGGCTTGGGCGAGCCCTCGGTGCTGTCGATATTTGCTGCTGGAAGCTGTCGATAGCGGATGCTTGCAAGGAGGCAGCTGCTGGTTCAGAAATCAGTGGCTCGAAGGAAAAGCAGCAGGAGCGGCGATGCTTAGGGTAGTGATTCAGATCCATAATGCCGGGTTTCGGCAGTGCCTGGCCGTGTCGGCTCTCGCATAAGACACAGATCAGCTCTGAGCCCGCACGGTTTGCAGCGCGGTGTTCAAGATGTGGGGACTCGGGGAAGGCAAAGGAAAAGCCTGTTGGGACACGGCCCCCGGGTCCTTCGGCACCTCTTTGCTTGAGCTCGGATGGTGCAGGGCATGGGGGACAGTGCAGGCTGGTGGCCCTGACCTCCGCCGAAGGCATGTGCCTGGCAGACCTGGGAGGAGGTTTGGGAAGATCTTCAGCCTCAGCCTGCTCTGCTGGGGGCAGGAGCTTGTGCATGGCAGGGCCATCCATGGGGACAGGCAAGGGGCGGGTGGGCGCAGCAGGGGATGCTCAGGAGAGGAGGACAGTTTGCACTCCATAGAGGGGCTGTTTAACGAGCAGGTTTCCCCCCACATCAGCTTGGGGTCTAAATCGAGCTCAGCTTTAAGGTGGCTGCTTGGTTCCCGTGCCCAGCGGTGCCCCGGGGCAGGAGGGATGCTCTAGGGCCGGCAGGGACCGGGGCTGTGGGTGCATGTGGGGTTTGCCCCCCTCCAAGCACCGTCTCGGGGCTTGTCCCACCCTGGAGGCTCCCTGAAGAAGGGACGGGATGGGATGGGTCCTGGGGTCTCCTTCCACCCCCAAGCTGACCACCGACCTGGTCTTGCTCCGTGGGGCAGAGGGGGCTGGGGGCCCCCGCACCGGCCTCCGCCTGCACATGGTTTGGGCTGAGTGTGAATCAGCAACCAAGCGAATCCCAAATCTTTTTTTAACAATAACCTCCAGTGCTAACTTCTGCTGGGCTCCCTGATGAAAGCTCAGAATAGCGGATGTCCTCTTCATCCTCCTGCTTAATTTTCTGTCTCTCTCTCTCCCCCTCCCTCCTGTTCCACCCCGCCCTCTCAAGGGTTTCGGAGGAAGGACCCGAAGCTTTGCTTGGGCTCACGTCTCCGCCGCCGCCTCTTCTCCCTGGCGTA